TCTCCTGCCTCTGCCCCCTCCCCTGCTGCAGGAGCCGCACGCGGGAGGTTTCTTAGTTTTCCCCAAGGATAGAAGGGGGGTGGGTACAGGTTGTTTGCCACGAACACTGGGCACTGACTGCAGGAGCCTGGGGGTGCAGCTCCAGCCCCTGCATCCCCCTGCGCCCCTGGGAGGGCGGTGCTGGTGCAGAGTCTCTCCTGTGTCCTTGCTCGATGTCTTCTGGGCCCCTCTGGGAGGAGGTGATGGGTCAGGACTGCTCCTGCCTGGCCCCTGCAGAGGCTCTGTGAGAGACAGTTATGGCTTTTAGAAGGTATTTCAGGAGGGTTTGTGCATTTTTCCCTCTGAAAACACCCAAGCTCCTGGCACACTGCACCCAGGAGAAGGCTTTCAGTGGCTTCTTTACTTGGTCTGAGAAACTGAATGAGAGCTGAGAAAAGTACCATTTTATTGTTGTAAAATGGAATCTGTGAGATCCTGTGAGTGCTGGAGCCATGGATGTTGTAATCCTTGTTTTCCCTGTAAGAAACTGGAAGTGTTGGCAAAGGAGTCAGACATTTGTTGGTGCTCACAGGCAGGTTTTGTCTAAGCTGGTAGTCTCTTGGCTGTTTGTGGTCTGTCCAGGTTTGGCTTCCAACTTCGTGTCCCTCATATTACTTGCAGTGGTGGACTTTGTGTCATCAGACCTGGAGGATGTTGCCCAGAAATGTTCCCTGTCTTACAAGGTAAAGGATGACTCCAAAGTTCTGGAGCTCAGAGCTGTTCAGCTTACAGCTTGGATGGGCTTGCCTGGAGGGTCCTTCTACAGCAGACATTGTTGGCCCTGGGCCTCCTGAGTTCTATTTCCAGCCACCTCTCTGCCCACCAGGCGCTGGTCGCGGTGAGACGTGTGCTCCTGGCCCAGTTCTCTGCCTTCCCTGCCAACGGAGCAGACCTCTATGAGGAGCTCAAGAGCTCCACAGCCATCCTGTCCACTGGGAGCCCAAGGTGGGTGCATCACCTCGGGAGCCAGCAGGTCTGCCCAGGGCTGGGCTTGCTGCAAAACACCGTGGCTGCCCAGCACAGCTTTGGGTTCAATGTGGTGATGCCCTGAGCAGGCTTAGTAGTATCCAAACCATTCCTTTTGGGAGCAGATATGATTCCTGTCCTGTGGCTGCAAAGCCAGGTGGTCTGTGTCCCTCGAGGTAAGGGCATTGCTGTTGTCCTTGCCAGAGCCAGCACACCTTTTGGGAAGTGGTTGTGTCTGGCTTCTAGACTGGAACACGTGCTGCTGTCAGCCTTTCCCTGGAGGGCTCCAAGAGGAGGGCTGAGGATCTGGGAGGACTACTGAGTGATGGTGGTCTGAACTGTCTAGATCCAGCAGGGAAATGACCCATTGCATGTCCTTATTACTTCTTTTTCCTCCTCTCCTTGCTGGGTTGTTGCAGTCACTATGCGGAGAAACCCTGGGTATTCAAACCTTGCTGCCAGGACCACAGCTCCTCCCCAGCTCAGGGCTGTCCTCTTCTGGACCCCACACTGCAGATCTGTTGCCCTGTGTGGAGAGGGAAGATGGGAGGGAA